CCCCCAATGCCTTTGTATTCTATGATGCTGTAAACGTGTAATGTAACCCCAAGGGAGGTCACTAGATTATCAAGGTCATGAGATGACTGCTTCCCTTTGCTCAGTTTCATGTAAACGCAGGCTCCGTGTAAACACACGCTAAGGAGCCCTCCCGAGCAGCGTGCGTTTAGGCGGAGACTGCTGTCATGTACTCATAGGTCGGCTGGTATGAGTGAAAGCTTTACAATTGTAGCAGCAGTGAAGGGGCAGGTGTTGCCATAACGGTTGTTCTAAGTGAATCTAACTGGTATTTAGGTGAGTCGTCGCAAGATGAGGCAGAAGAGGAAGCAACTCCTGTGAGCATGAAGGTGACGCGGGGCGAGAGCGAGGAGTTCAAGGCCAGGCGCATGGCGAGCTACGAGTACATCCACCAGCGGCGCGAGGAGGAGCGGTGGGTCAACGTGACCTACTTTGGGGCGGACGTGAGTTGTTGCTGCGAGTTTGTCATTGTTGAGGACAGACGCACGCACACAAACACACTGTCGCACGTACACACACACACACACAGACACACGCACGCACGCACGCACACAGACACACGCACGCACGCACACAGACACACGCACACAGACACACACACACACAGACACACACACACACACACACACACACACACACACTAGGACATAGATCTGTGTGTAGTTTTGGTTTCTACTGGTCACTAGGACACCTGTGTAGTTTTGGTTTCTACTGGTCTGCTGTCTGTCTGACTGGGAACCAAGACACAGAGGCAGGCAGATCGGAAAGAGAGAAAGAGATGGTGTTTTGTTGCAGGAAGTGGCGATAAGTCCCGTTCAACTGCTACCTTCCACATCTCTTTCTGTGGAGTTTTCCCCACAGCTCAGAGCAACTTCACGTTTGTAGAACCCGATCTTTCATCTCTGTCTGTGTTGTTCTTCACTTTGGGTGGTTTCCTGGAATTTCCCAAGCTCCCATTTTGCTGTGTGCGGTGGGAGGTGGACTGTAAGTTTGGAGGTACGAATGCTGGGACTGATCATTCCCTTCACACTGGCATAACAGAATAAGGTCCTGCCTCTTGATAATCTGACAATGTCACAGACACACAGAGCCCAGTCCCAAGATCCAAAACCCACATGAAGAGCGTGGCAATTCTCTGCCCACCTGGCCAACCCTTCCCTCACAAACTGAACGTAGCGTTTTGTTGTTCCAGTCTGGCGTATCTGAGGCAGAGAGGGAGCAGCTGAAGGCCGGGGACGTGCCGCGCGTCTCGCAGTTCAAGATCTCGCCCCAGGAATATCTGCAGGCTCTCATCCCTCCGTCTAGTGAGAGCAAAAGGTTAGTCATCATAGTCGCGCTAGTTTCCATGAGTCAGTCACACTACGGTCCATCTCTCCACCCAGTGAAAGCAAAGGTGTCTCTTCAAACTGGCTCCCAAATGCCATTTTTAACCCTCTAAAAGCGCTGAACTTCAATTTCTTCTGGGTTATTGTTGTTATTAGTATTGTTGTTGTTATTAGTATTGTTATTGTTGTTATTAGTATTGTTATTGTTTGTCATTAATATTGTTATAGTTGTTACTATGGCGATGTTTCCCCTCCCGTGTTCCAGCGAGGCCCCAGCCATGCCGGACAACGTGCTGTCCTTGAGTGACCTCCGCAGACTGGACCTCACCGACCAGATCCGTGCGCTGCTCATTAACGGTAACT